CCACCCTCCTCCCCCGCCCCCTCCTCCTCCTCCTCCTCCAGCACCAACACTTCGACGATGCTCCTCCTTCGTTGCCTGGCGTCGTTCCTCAACGACAAACACCAGCCTGCATCGCGCTCCTCCTTTCGTCCCGTCGACGAAAGCACGCAGGACATAACACACTTTGAAAAAGATCACCTCTCCTTCTCCCCGTCTTCGTCTTCGTCTTCTTCTTAGTCTTGGTCGTGAAAAGTCCCATTATCTTATCTTGTTACCGCCATCTCCTCCTTCGCTGCTTCCAAGACACTTCTAATAAAGCTTCTTATAGAAATACCGAAACAGCTTAGAAGGAAGATCGTTCGATTTATCTATATTATTTATATTGGCTACGCCAACCGAATTTCACTTTTCGATTTATATAACAATTAGTAAATATACGGTACATGTGCACATGATCTTCTATTCTCCGTTAATATTTCGTCACGATAAACACATTGTAAGTTTATAGGAAGCTATTAACAACGCTCTTATCTCTTGTTTTTTCAAAAATAATGAAATTCGAAAGAGACGATAAAAAGCGGCAAATGAAAAACAACTCGTAAAAAGGTGCGCGCAGACTAAAAGTCCTCGACTGACTGAAACACATGGACGGTCGTCCCCGTGGCTAGCCTGTAAACATCCCCTTGCCGCCGCCACCGCTATCGCCGCCACCGCTATCGCTGCCGGAGAAGGGGAAACTTTCCTACATTGGTGGAAGGGCCGAGCGCGCGCTACTCTACGAACGATTACAAACATCTGCCTTTACGATATATCGATTTTAACAAGTTTCGATAATTTTATAAATTTGTCTAGTCTCCTTCGGAAGAAAATCATTTCTTTTACTATTACATTGTTTCATTTCCATCGTTAGTTTAAACATATTATTAACAAATTGAAAATTTGCTCGAGAATCTCTCGATTACAATTGATTAGTAAATATACCATTTTTCTTATGCACATATGTTATAAAAAATATATAGGAATTTCGGTAATGTTGTGTAGGATAGCAATATATAGAATATTATAAAGTCAACAGTGCTACCATCACACTGTCAAGTTTTGAACAAAATCGCAATAGTTTGGTTACACCTTTAACAAAGTTACCGGTAATGTGGTGTTCTGTTATCGGTAAGTTCGAGGATTTAAATACAGTGGAAATAATGGGGAAATCATTAGCTTGAAATCAAACAATTAAGATGAATAATTTAGTCTTGTTCTTATTACAATAATTAATTATTAAGATAGTTATATTTACATTTGTACACGATCGAGTTCGGTTGGTAATATAAAAAAAAATTATATTGGACAATTATAAGTACTGGTCATGTATAAATATTTAAATCATGAGTATAACTCGATACCATCATCGATCCAAATCGCAAGAATAAACCTTTCCTTGCTAGTCGATTAAATATTCCAATTTCGAATTGTTTATAAAAAATTAAATAAGGTATGTGAAATAAATATCTGTCAATTAGAAAACAAAATAGAAAACATTTGTTTCAAAATTTGAGAAAACTTGATCGATGAATAATTTCATTTTAATGACAGTTTTCCCTATCTCATTCTTTTCTTTTATAAGAAATATTTTCTTTGCCATTTCATTGATACTTCTTTCAAGAAAATATTCACGTGGCTCTCCGACGTAACAATACTATACTATTATAGAGCTTTATTGCCGGTCCTAAAAGTAAACCTAATAACGATACTAAATCTTCTTGCGTGAGCATTAAAAATGCTTCTCCATCGATATTCTAAAAAAGAAGAAACATTTCAGTAGAAATAACAATTGAACAAATTTAAAGTGATTTGTAATATACTTGATAAGATACTTACATGTTTTCTAAAAATATTACCAATTTCTCTACAATTTGGGACACTTTGAATAAACTTGATAACTTCTTCGTTTGACCAGCGTCGAGGATTTGTATTCTGTTGAGAAACTACTCTGTTCAACGCGTTACTATGTTTTGCCCATATGTGCGGTGCGTCTGGTAAAGGATTGTAACCGGGATCGTAGACCGATTGGTATAATTCTGTACGTAATTGTTTATCTGGCATATTGGCAGCATATTGGGTTGTATTTAGTACCGTATCACCGTATGTAGAATTTGAAAGAGTATATATAGAATCGTCAGAAATTTGTCGTCTACAAAAGGTGATTAATAATTTGCATTAAACGATTATACATTAACTAGACTTTAATGGATTTTAGACAAAATATAACGAACCTTTTCTTACGTTTTCTCGAAACTTCCTCGTCGTCGGTTTGTCCGTCGCTGTGAAGATTTTTCGACTTGCTCGATCTAAAAAAAAAAAAGATAAAAGAAAAATATAATATAAGCATTATCACCAATCGCATAAAATATTCATTTAAAATTATAAACAAACGAAATATTAACCTTTCAGATTTTTCCGAATTTTCAGACTTATCATTTTTATCAGAATCTCCATCCTCTTGTTTCACATCTTTTTCAGTCTTTAAGAGTCGTTCTTCAGAGAAAGAAAGTTTTTCAATTCTTTCCATTCTCTCAGGCTTTTCGAGCTTTTCGAGCTTTTCGAGTTTTTCCAGCTTCTCAAACTTTTCACTTTTTTCAGACTTTTCAGGCTTTTCAAGCTTCTCAGGTTTTTCTGCTTTCACTTTCTCAGTCTTATCGACTCTTGCTACTCTTTCCTGCGACTCTTCATCGACGTCGCAGCAGATTTCATTTTTTGTGATTAATCTATCTGATAAGGTCTTATTTTTACTTAAGTTTTGAGGCGAGTAAGGACAACCAGATGGTGAATTATGTGTGGCAAATTTAGGACCCTTTACGTGTCCTATACCGCGACATCCATACGTACCACATTCTGATTTATCGTTTGGATTATCTGGTGCTATTCAAAAAAATAAAATTAGTTTATAAACCTTATGTTGCTACAATCAGAGACAAAAAAATAGGCCACCCAACACATTTTTCTTCAATTCTAATTACATGCACTCTCCCCTTTTTGTCCATCTATGTGCTATTATTATAAAAATTATGAATATTATGAATCTTACTTAATGGTGCTTCCAATGGGTGTCCAGTTTTTAAACACCATCCCATCGGATGTATATCCGGAGAATCATCGTCAACCCAATAAGCATGATTCTCTGGCCATCCATCAAAACGTATTTTCAACCTAGAAAGGTAAATTAAAAGTTTAATTAAACTTTATGTCAAATGTAGAATTATTTCATCATAATAAGACAGACATAGAATACTAACATGTGATCTTTCACATCTTCAACAGTGGCTACTCTAATAAGTTGTGGAATTCTTGCATCGACTGCTTCTAATTTCATACCACGTTTAAATCCACAAGGTGGCCGTTGTTTGAAAGCTCTTGCCGGTGCTGCCATCGAACGAGTTTCTTTTAGATAAATGTCCCATGTAAAGTTCTTGGGGTCTTTATAATCTACAAAATATCAATTGTTTATTACTTTACATTATCTTTTTACGTTGATACAGATAAGCGTGAGAAATATATATATATAATAAGTATTATTTGGCATAGATACTTACTGTTGGGCGGAGTAAGACTGTGTCCATTATGATGACACCATCCCACGGGATGAATGTAAGGTGAACTTGCATCTGCCCAATAATCATATACTTCATCCCAAGAATCAAAATGAACTAATATCCGAGAATCCATTAAACCTGCTATACTTGCTACGCAAACTAAAGATGAGTGTTTACGATCGACCGCTTCCAGTTTCATACCCACGCGAAATCCAGTTGGAAAAACGGACTAAAAAAGTTAGTATAAAGAAATATTTTTTAGTGTATTCCATATTAATAATAAAATTGATAGAACAAGCATGCATACATAAGGACGTATACTTACACTTTTATTGGAAAATATATTTTTCGGAGCTGCAGAAGCTTTACAAATTTTCAGATATGCATTCCAGTTAAAATTAGAAGTTGCATAACCTTTTGGTGGATCCAGACGATGTCCATTTTTCTCGGACCAACCAACTGGAAAAATATCCATGCTATCCGCGTTAGCCCAAAAATCATAATTTTCTGGATAACCATCGAAATGCAAGCGTATCCTATATCCTGAAAAAATCATTTAAGATATGTTAAATCATAACCTATTAACTCGAGACACGTTTATTTATTAAATGAATTAAAATTTTCTTAATTACTTACCTACTACTTCGACTACTGTAAGAACGCAATAACGAGATGGACGTTCAGGATCTATTCCCTCTAACTTCATTCCGGGTTTAAAGTTATTTTTTCCATATGGAAATGCATCCTTAAATAATTTAACTGGCGCAGACTTGGCTTTATAATGTTCAAGATATTTAGGCCAAGAAAAACCGAGTTTCCCAGTTTGCCATGGATACTGTATGAACAATAATCAAATTATTTCAATTGATGATGGTTAACAAGGAAATGATTAATTTCAAGTTTTATTTTGTACCTTAGATTCTGAAAAATCTCCTTGGCATTCGTCATCCATCCCGCCAATGGTATCCTTTGTATCTTCGTCCGTTTCGGACTTGATTTTCTCTTGCGATTTTTCTTCCATTTCTTTAGCTTGCTGTTGTTCTTGTAACAATCTTTTTCGTTTTCGTTTTACACGCAAATCTCTACAAAAAAGAAAAAGACAAAGGAGTAGTAACAATGTGATTTAATAAATCGTTCAAATTATACAAATATCAATATAAATTGTAATACACACTTTAGATCTTTTTCTTTTCGCATTGAAGGTTGTTTCTTAGATTCTATTATCTCTGTACATGAAGGACTGCAAGAGATTGGACTTTCAAATTCTGCAGCTAGGCCGTAGCAACCACAACCCTCGCAATGATAGACGGTATCAGCAGATAAGGTCCTAGTTTTCCGATCTTCCGCTGTTCAACAATTTTCTCGATTACTAACTCGATTATAAACTAATCTTAAAATCTAAATCTTCGAGTAATAAAATTACTTTTACTTACCCTTTTTCTCATTAATCGCATTATTGGTCATAACAGGACTGGATTTTGACGAATTCTGCATTAAACATACATTTTCCTTATCACCAATATTGCCATCTTTATTCTGCTTAATTGTCTCATCTTCTTCGACAACTTCCATTATCCCGAATTCATTCATACAAAACTGAGGAAACAATTAATACAATATATTGAAAAAATTACGATAGTTGAGTTATAATGGATGAATTAATAAAATAGAAATATTTCATTTAGAGAACTTACCTTCAATGTACTTCCTGGCAAGGTTCCTACACCATCTTTCCAATCTAGTACTTTAGCAGCGTCGAAATTGGAATCGTTTTGTTGAGAGACATTAAAGAGCTCTTTCATATCTTCGTGATTAATTTTCATTTCATTTTTATTTTCCGACACGGGTTCAACTGTACAACTTGTAGGCGTTTTAATTATTTCTATTTTGATGTCATCATCTATACTCGTATTTAACTTCATTGATTTTTCTTCGCTAGGAATTACTTTAATCAAAGTAATATCATCATCGTTTTGTACCTTTTTATCTTTATCTTGTTCTGATTCAGGACTACTAAGGGCATAAGTCACATCAGCCATAGATTCTTGAGACGATTTTTGTTTTTTTAATCGCTTTTCATTAGAAGCCCTTAAAATATTACTTATAGTTTTTTTTCTTTTTTCTGGAATAGTAGTATCGTCCTTTTTAGGTATAGGCGTAATAACTGCTGAATCTGGATTTTCTGTAATTTTTATACTATCTGTAGAATTGTTATTTCCTTTATTTGCGTTTAATAAGCTCATTTTTGCAATTGGATGTAACGGTGGTGGATGCGTTGCAGAATTGGTAGTTTTTGATTCTCGTAATACTAAAATATTAAATGAAATAAAAATGATGTATATTTTTCTTCTAAATATCATGCTCAATATGCGATCAAAATATAATGTTACCTGTAATCGTTCCCTTACTATCAGTACTGATTTGACCATTATTGATCTTCAAATTAAACATACTGGATTTGGCAGAACCGCTTTGTTGGGGAATGCTTACTGGTAATAGCAGATTTGTCATGTGTTTAGATGATTGGCTTTGCGAACCAGCAGTCGTGCTCGTTGATGTCTGCGCCAATTGTGATATAACTGGGGCGATAACTAACTTGGGTTTAGTTATTTGAGTAGTCGTTAAAGCTCCTATATTTTAAGAAAGTTCAAATTACATAAAACCAGTTCTTACACCCACGCACACGCACACACGTACAAATAAATAAGTATAATATAAAAAGAGAGTATATCAGAACTATATTAAATAAATAATCACCTGCTGGGATAACGACAGATTCGCGCGATTTATTTGGTTTGATAAGAGTCCCAAGATATGCAAATGTATGTTTTCCTGATTGCGAATTCGTCTGATTTCCTTGAGAAGCATTTAGGGGTACAATCTGCGCGGTAGATGTATTTGATTTTCTAAGTAATATGTGCTTTTGTCCTTGCGCAGTGTTTGTAGTATTAACTGTATTAACGGGACGATGAATTACAATATGTTGTTTGTTTTGCGAAGTAGTAACCTGACCTGGACCCTGTATAAATACTTTATTCTGTCCAGTAACAATCTGAAATATATTTAAAGCTGTATATTAGAAATGCGTTTACCTGGATTTTTTAAATATAAACATAGAATAATATTTATTATCTCAAGAACCACAGCGAAAACACAAAATGAGAGAAATTATGTAATTATGGTATTAATAATTATGTCTTCCCAAGACGGTACAATCTATGAGCATGAAAACTATAACACCGTATATGCAATCTTGCTTATTAATATTTTCAAAATATGTATATAAATATATAAGTAATTGTATGCATAAAGAAATGAAATGCAGAATGCTTAATGCATAGGTCCACTTATATAATATATAAATTAATAAAATAAATATTTTGAAGATTTAAAACGAACTGTAAATGACAGTATAAATCTATAATATGAAATAAATTACCTGATTATTAACGGGATTAATGATGGCAGCGAGTTGAGTAGCAGTAGGAGAAACAAGCGTTTGATTTGTAGCTGTCGTTTGACCAGAACGCATTTTGCCCTGTTGAATATATAATAGAGGCATAACTGAAGTGGAAGAATCGTCCAATTGTTGGGACTCAGTTATACTATTATCATCACAGTCGTCAACTACTATTTCTTCGTCCATTCTATAATAATGGAAAATAAAAACAAGTTATAAACAGATAAATCTTTCTCAGATAAAAACATTTGATATTTGTTGATGGATATTAAAATTGTACAATCCGTTATAACATGTATATTATATTAATCACCTTAAATATTCGACTTTTAATCATTTTTGATAATGAGAAAATGATATTCAAATTGTCAATAAAAGTTTATAGAGAAATGCAAGAAGCACAGTTAATAACACCCTTTGATTGATATGTAATCGTTTATTCGTCCAATAATTATTTCAAGACAACTTTTTCATGCACGAAAGAGTTAAATGAAAACAGGAAAATAACTGCAGAAATGACATTAAATAATAAAAAAATAAAATAACAATGAAAATATGAAATATTTGACAAACGTATAGTGTGTATCATAATGTGGCATACCTAATTAGTTGTGTTCCTATAAGAAAATTCTATTTTTCTCAGTTACATAATTCCAATTAAATGTGGTGGAATGAATATGTAATAAGTTTGGTGTTGGGAAGAAGTAAGTACCGTTGTAGCAGCTCCGTGCACTTCATTCACAAAATCTTTTATTCGACAATATACATGGACTGGGCGTCGGATCTATCGGTAAAGGAATTTAAAACACGCGCCCAATTATTACTATCGAGAACACAGTTTCGTTTCTTTTACACTTTGAAATATCGGAAATATAATGATAATCTATTAATTTCTGGTGATACTTATAAATCGCGATTAACGTACTACCGTAATTATTGCGCCACATATATCTTCATTTAAATACTTAATCAAATCTTTGGTCGCGCTTGAGGGTGACTTAACAATCGAACCCGCACGATTCTATATCATCCTACACACGACGCACAATTTTCATTCCTATAAGAAACGAACACTGGGCAACAAGAGATATCCCTTTCTCACTAAAGCCTGATCTTTCCAAAAGGATTGCATCTGGAGATGACCAACAACAAACTTATCGCGTACACCACTATTCTAAACGAAAATCCGCACGTATCTTTAAAGCTTTCATATCATTCAAGCTTTGGTCTCTCTAAACTACTGCTACTTTCCCATAGGCTCGAACGATGCTATCAATGGCGCGGCAGCCTAACAGTACCTAACCTAACGAACCGCAAATACCATATGACGTTCCTAAAGTAACAGCCAATCAGAGAACTTTGACAACTCCCTCTCCTCCTAACTAACTTGCACGCATATTTATTGCAAGTGAAAGCAATTTTGGAATCAAGTTCTAAACCATTTGCTCGATGATCGATGATCGACAACGAATTGCATCGTTTGATATAATATTTTAGTCGATGTTAAATATTTAACAATTATCTTGGACGTTTTATAATAAGACCGACTAAAAGATAGGCCATTTTCAAATATATATGTATCTATGTCTCATTCCATTAATTTAACTTCTCCCTTTATTCGCATTCGCAAATCTATCAATCCCATTCGCTCTCTCTCTCTTTCGATGCATTATTATTCGATATTACACTTTTATTCTTTTATTTATCCTAATATCAATAACTATATATTAATAAACAATGTACATCTAATCAAAATCAAATATAAACTATTGACTCGAATCTAATCAATTATTTATTAGATTTTATGAAAAATAATGAATGGAACAATAAATAAGATTAATATATCATTAAGCAATGTAAAGAAGTTCGACTAATTGTAAATGTAAGATTTCTTATCGCGACTCAATTGGTTGGCCATAGTCTACGTTTATCAAAATAAACTCTACTTTATTCTAGTTATCGTCTTTTTAAGAAGCTTTTCTCCATCAATGTACAGTAAATTCTAACGATCAATATTATACTTCGAAAGATATAATCACTCTACAAATAAATTCTATTCTATAGATAAACGAAATCTAAATTGTTAAAATAATTTATGAGTATAGATGTTAACGTATTTTATGCGCGACGAACTTTTCTCTAATAACCTCTAAAGCGTGCATTCGGCATTAGTAATAAAAATGCATCTATCGATTACTAGGTAACGCTGTAACCTGTATCGATAGTTGAGAATATCGCATACACGTGACTATAATATTATTCCATTTTAACGATTTCTTGTAAAAATAACATGCATTAAGATGGAACAAGACGATCTGGTTACTTTTGAAAATGAAAAAACTCAATCGAGATATCAAGTAAAGTAGCAAGAAAAGTATCAAAACTAAATTATGGGATGGTACAATTCTGTATAATATATATATATATATATATACACATATAATCGCATATGCATTTTAACACGGACTATGCATGTACGCACATATATATATATATATAGGTATGCATACTTTATTTTTTTAGAAAAAAATAAATTCTATAATCAAGTTATATCGTTAAAAATATTACGATTCGTGAAAACAAAAGAGACATTCATATTTTCACCTGATTTTTCGCGAAAGAAAATTTCTTTAAGGCTATGTTTTTTGTCTCTTTTTTTCCTCTTTATAAATTTATATATGTAAAAAATATATAGCAAAGTTGTAAATAAATTTAAATAAAATGTTGGAGAAGTCATTAACGAATAATCGATCGTAATAATTGCAATATTGTAAACTCATGGTTACGATCGTACATGCATGAACGCTATTAAAAACAAAAAATAGATGCAAATACAAAGTACTATCGTTAAAGATGCAGTACGTGATAAGAAATTAAGATTGGTTAAAACGAACATGCAAACTTTCTCTTCTCTCTTGTTATATGATATTTTAACGAATATTTTTATTTTTCAAAGCTCAACTGCAAAGTTACGCTAAGCTTTATACACGCATGTACCATACACATATACTTACGAGAGTAAACGAATGTTGACCTAACGAATCCAGTGGAAAATTTAACGTTATATTTACCAATGCCCACGTTTCACTCGATTTCAATAAACTCTATGAAATACTCAATATCTCATAATCATAGAGCAGCGTTTTACACAATAACGACACTTTAAAGATGTAAGAAATTGTATGATTATAAACTCACGTTTTAAAGTTGTCTGTCGCCATCATCTGAGAGAAGGAACGATATTAGTTCGAATGCGCATGCGCACCAACCCATGTTGCTCTACGAAGGTTCGTTCACATTTGTGCGAGTTACCATCCACGGAGATGTAAAACAATAAGACCATAAGCTGTATTTTACTTTTCTCCAAATATTCCTCAAATATTAATGTTACTCCAGCAAAATATGCTGATCTAGATGGTTTTTGTTCAAGTTATTTTCATCCTTTGCCTACTTTTTATAACATTATCGATTGCCATCCAAGATCTATGCGTTCATATACATCACTCAGAGAAATAAGAAAAAGCAGAGAACAAAACTGAAATTAGAAATAAAGTCAAACGTATTATTTCCAATGAATACCAACTACGATATTATATCGATTTTTATTTTCTTATTCTAGTATTGTAAGAGTCAAGAAAAGTAGATAGGAATTATGATCGAGTATTTATCTATATCGATAAGATTCGAATTAAAATCATGAACCCGTACGGCTAACTGAAATAAGGCTAATAGTATTTTATTTAAAAAAATACACAAGTACACATAATAGATACATATATGTATATATACCTATCTCTCTTTCTATATATATATATCTACCTATGTGTAAGTATATAAATATCGACCTTCAAATGCGTGCGCTTTTCAAATTTATCGAGCGCCACCAACGCATCATTTATGCACTATATATAACCAAATTATGCATCCAACTAATAAAGCAAAAAAAAGTCTACTAGTTTCAAAGATACTACCAATAGAGAAAAAAAAAAAAGTAAAAATATAACAGCGTAGAAAAATTTAAATAATTTTCAATGTATCCATATATATTCGAATCGACTCGTTTACCGTTCTTTCGACGTTGCTAATAACTTTCTCTCTTTCTAGTGTCATCTAGTATGGTTCACGCCTGCGCTTAACAATACTACATATTTCTAACAGACCGATTAACATAAATGTAATTACTAAATTATAAGGGAGATTTTTGAACAATTCATTAGAAATGCATACTATTTAAAACGAATATCAAAATTAAAAGTATCTTGTTTTGGATTGTCTTGCATTGTTTTCTAAAGCAAAGGAGAGAAATTATTAAAAAAAAAGAAAATAAATTCGAGGAAAGAATATTTGACGGATCGTCATTTGATTTCTCTCTTTCTCTCTCTCTCTCGTTCTCTCTCTCCCTCTCTCTCTCTGGGGAGATAGAGAGCGCGCAATGGCGTAACTAGTATATATTTTCTTCTATCAGCTGATGCACGTTGATGCACCTTCATGCACCTTTTGCTTGTCAAAACAGAATAAAATCGTGCATTAGTATACTCCAATGTATCAAAATAACAGCGCGTCGTGTTGTATAATATAGCACGGAATATATTCGTTATAATATGTTAACGTTCAGATTTACACGACCGTCTAAGTTTTGATTTTTTCCGAAGTGACAGCTCCGACTCCATTATTCTCTCGTCATTGAATTGTATTCTCACTTGGCAAGGGTAAGTTTCAACAAAAAATAACGTTAGATGTACGTTAATTATTAACATTGGAAATTCCTTTTTTTTCATGATATTCCTTTCAAAAGTAGTATTTCTAATGTTGCATTTAAAAAATAGATATATCTATTTTTGTTTCTTTTTCGTTAAATAATGAAAGTATATAGTCCAACACAATCAGAAAAAACACATTCCTCTTATCGTATAATTATCATTACGTCGATCGATAAAAAGAGAATAAATTTAGAACTCTTGTTTTTTGAGCTCTATTTGCTGCGAGCCACATTGTATGGCATTTGTTATTGCATTTAATATTTTTACTAAGTGACGCTTACAGACAACGCTTCATGTTTATCGGTATAGTATATTTCATTTGTAAGGTTATTTTTAAAGATAACTTCTTAACGCATACATATGTGGTATGATGCTACATATAGAATACATATATAATACATATATAATACGTGTGCGTTCATATTATTTTCTTGTACTTTGGAAAGTCGTATTTTGATTATTGTGACAGTAATATATTCTTTTATATCATTTGATTAAGTCAGTAAGAGATCATAACTTGAGCAGTTTTCTATTTTAGATTTTATTACATTTATTGGTTTATGAAAATATATATTATAAGTTTGTATAGGTAGGTATCTTATAACTTGTTATATGGGATACAATGTAATAATTTTATGATTAATCATTAACATAATCTTTGTTAAACAGAAGAACAAATCTTGTCTTATCAAGATGGGAAGTGCCGTTAGTAGTGGACAAAACAATGATGAATTGGTAGATAATTTAATGACATCTGGTTATATAAGAACAAAGAAAGTTGAACAGGTATTCAGAGCTGTTGATCGTGCTGATTACTTCCTAACATTGTGTCGAGAAAGCGCGTACAAGGACCTTGCTTGGAAGCATGGCAACATCCATTTATCAGCACCATGCGTCTACAGTTTGGTAATAGAAGGTCTTTCACTGGAGCCCGGATTGAGTTTTCTGAATCTTGGATCAGGAACTGGATATCTCAGTACAATGGCAGGACTAATACTAAGTAAGGAAATAATTATATCGACTAATTGCCATTGAAATTGTCACATTGTTTTATCTTTCTTAGGTCAACATGGGACAAATCATGGTATAGAATTACACGAGGACTGTCTAAAATATGCGTATGAGCGTTTAGAAGAATTTAAACAAAAATCTCTAGCTTTAGATGAGTTTGATTTCTGCGAGCCATCATTTGTACAAGGTAGTATAAATAATGATTAGAATAATATAAATTAAATATATTGTCTAAGACTATTTTTTACTTAAAAGGAAACTGCTTAAGCATTGTACCTGGCAGACAATACGATAGAGTGTATTGCGGTGCAGCTTGCCCGGAAAGTCATGAGGCACTTATCAAACAGTATGTTAAAATTGGAGGAATTTTAGTGATGCCTTTCAAAGAGCATTTACTCAGAATTCAAAGAGTCGACGAAAATGCTTGGACGCATCATACGATGCTTCCTGTATCTTTTGCGCCGTTGATCGTTCCTACGTCCGAGGAACAAAATTTATTTCATTTGCGTAAGTAAACAAAATTTAAACAATTGTGTCCAATAGATTAATTTAAAAGATGAGTAAGATTGACAATAAGAGTAATATTTTATAGCGGAATGCGATCCATTATCTTTACAAGAATTATGTCGTGATAAAATCAGACATAGATTAAGAGAAAATGTCTGGCGACAACATACGGAATTGGAGACCAGGAAACCTATACTACTAAGACAGCAAAGACCCAGGTTACCTGCACGTACCTCGAAACGTTTTGTAATACCTATTTTCGAAGAATCAGATGAAGCGCTTTTTGACGAAGATGCAGAATTTGCAGGGAGAGCTCGTTTATTGCTCAACGTAGATACTCATCCCGGAGAAGCCATTACAACGACCTTACAGTTGTTAAGAGCTGTCATACAGCCGCACCTAGGTGAAAATAGACAGCAGCATTGGCCGGAATCGAATGACGACGATAGCGACGGACAATATATTGTCGCGTCTGTTGATTTGCATCACGATAATAACGAAGAAAGAAAAGAGACCGAAAGCGAAGCGTTACTCGCCGAAGCTGGAAGAGCTAATACTAGCGAGAATAATGTCAATTCGAACTACGACCAATCTCAAGACCAAATGCAAGATCAATCCTGTCAAATTTTAGAACAGCACTCGTCTTTATCGGAAGCATATATAAATATGAGCGAAAGCGACAGCGACAGCGAAGCCGAACAAGAGACATCATTTACTCAACGTAAAAAAATAGCGAAACGTGAAAAAACCGATAGCGGTATAATAGAAGATGCTAATCTGACTACTGACGATGGTAGTTCTAGTTCAAATACCAGTCAATCAGATTCGAAGAATACTGATGATTTAAATTCCATGGAGGTTGATTTGTCCGATATCACGATCAATAAGTCCGCAAAGAATATGTATAAATTTTATCCCGAATCTACGGAAAGCATTCCAAATGAGAATGTAATATTTGGACATTATGTGGATGGCAATGCTTTTTCGACATATATGAAAGAAAAGATACATCAGTTACCATTGCCTTTCTCATTAAAGTTGTACATAAACTATAATCGGCATCTATAATATATACATAGAGAAGCAATTAGACTTAATCATTATTCTTTAATTTAAATATATATTCTAATAAATACATAATTCTCTTCTTATATTATGCAGTACTCCATTGTCGTTTATAGCTGCTCTCCAGCTACAGTTGACCTTCGTATGTTACTACATTAATTTTGGAAAGATAGGCCTACGAAGTGTTACAAGTGATATTTGGTGGCCAAAATGTTCTTTCATGTAAACCATTTCATTTGAAAAATTCTTTTTAAATCTTTTATTTTCAACGATAGAAGAGAGAAAGTTGTTAGATATAAATCTTGTACGGTAAATTACTCTCGAGATTTCTATATCATTGTGAACTGTGTCAATGATACTCTATATTTTTCATTATTAATATCGTAGAAATGAAGAAGGTGAGAAAGCAGCGATCAACGAGAGATTGCATTGTCGTTGATACTGTTTTATTGACCGAATATACATATTTAAAGTGGCAAAAATGACTGCCTTATCGTATGAGCGTGTATGCGTCTATTTACCTGTATGTACATATCTGTATCAAATTACTAAAACTCGTTTTCTGCAAGATTCTTTGAGAAAAAAAAGTCAAGTCCTATATAAATTTTCAAAGGGTTGTGACAAACGTTGAATCGAAAAATGCATAAGGACTTTTTTTATTGACGCAGATTAAACGAGTAATATCGTAACAACACACGCTACTTAGGATAAGAAATACACGGAAATGTACAAAATGCAAAATATAACGGGCGAAAAATTCGCATATACATATTTATCGAACTTCCCGATGATAAAGTTTAGCTGACAATGAGTATTGAAATTGAAATACTATCCATTAATTAATTTACGCAATTTCATATGGTAATAAAACGTTCACGATCGATAATCAAGATAATAGGTTTTTAGTTCGAAGACTATCATAGAGTTTCTAATTACAGAAATAAATACTATTTAGTAATAACTCGATTTCTTTTATTTACCTCTACACCGTATTAGACTTTAAAGATTGACGATATTAAATCTATTTATATGCTATTATTTTTTATACTAAAAGTTAGTTAATTAAAAAGAGGTATAATTCAGATCGAATGATACGTTTGGGGAAATGCCAAGTAGCATAGATATCTGTGGATTGATAACATGGTTCGAATCGGAATGCTCGCGTTCCAGTAAAACTCGCGATTCGAGTCGGTCGAAATATATGCGAGTGGCGAGGGTAGAAAGGGGGATGCTTGGTCGGGGATCGAAGGAGAGCAGGCGCACGGCAAGCTCAGAGATACGGAAGGGACTAACGCCCAGCTACCCGGTAAATTGTGTCTTCTCGTTCGTGGCTCGTATCAAACCTACCCCCGATCTTTAAATCCGTTTTAAGCTTGATCATTATCTGATTTACTCCAAAAATTCATAGTCCCTTAAGCACAAAATTTTATGATACACCATCGAGATAACATTCATTTACCTTACCTACGAGACGAATTATATTCCTACGTTTTCATGTTCTTTTACGTCGGACTTTCTGAAAGAGGACAAAATAAAGAATCAGTATCGTCGTTGTTCGCTCGCATCTTTCTTTTAAGTGCACAACAGAGTGGATATGAAATAATGAAAAATTACGAAATACATTCGGATTTAAAAGTGTAGATTCGAAAAAATTATATATGATTAATAAAGTGCATCCAGCAATATTTACATTCCACGGTAAAAAACGATTACTATCTACATACGTGATATAATAAAATTCGTTGAGAAAGATGGAATTTTAATAAGGGGATAAAAAGAAATAAATATTAATAACTTTGATGCCTCTTCATTGGAATTTCTTTTTTTCAGGCCGAAAATCCAATATTGTTCGATATCTTGTCCGATACTTCAAAAGAGGCAAACAAAATTTGATTGAAAAACATATCGACAATGAGGTTGATCGAGAAGATGAAATATCATCTCATCCTTTTCTTTTATCTCTGTTTATTGACTATAATCGAAGTGTCAACTGAAAACGCGGATTGCAATTATCATCTGACCGCTCCAAAAGGAGTTATAAAAACACCAAACTTTCCTAAAGCTTTTCCAGTACCCATAATGTGTCGATGGGTGATCGATGTTTCTGACATACCTTCGACGAATAGTTCGATAGTCGTCTATATGACGCAGCTTTACGTTTACAAAGGTCTCAAATTGACCGAGTACGCGTATTACGAGTCAGAGGCGACGAATTATGGCGCGAGTTTGATCAAAGAAATAACGGAGGGCAACGTTTTCGAATATCGGTGGTTCAGAACTTTTCGCCCATTTCTCGTCTTAGAATTTGAGCTTGATCGACTCGAAGGAAACCATGTACGCGTCTTGGACGATCTTTTGGACGTATATGGTTTTAACGTCACATACCAAATGACAGAGGAAGAACCAAATCCAAATGCTTGTTCCGTTAGCGAATGTTCTTTCACTGGAAATTGTCTTTTATCTGCAGATTATACGTATGTTTATTTATCCTCTATTGAAAATTTTCTTCAGACTTTTTCATTGTTGTAGATTCTTTAAATACAGGACCTTTTCCTGCGAGTGCTTTCCTCGTTTCAACGGAGATAAATGTAACGAAGGGCCGCTTTGTTTTGACGATCAACAAAACTCTATTTGTCTAAATGGTGGCAACTGCAAGTATGAACAAAAATATATTAATAAACATATATATATATATATATATATATAAAAATGCAAATCATCTTTGCATATATCAAAGGACTTTTACATACTTTCTAGACATTTAGGGGCGAAAGCAGTACACTGTGATTGCCTTCCTGGCTACGTTGGACAAAATTGTGAAATTCAGCTATTGGAAACTGTGAATACTGGTAAAATAATTTTCTTTTTTAAATATGTTTCCCATGGATACATCTAAATTCGGCACAATGATTTATTTATAGAATGCGGAGGAGAACATTGCATATTGCAATGTCCTTATCACAAGGAGGAGCAACGACCGTGTGCTTGTACGAATGGCAAAAAAATATATAACAGTAAATATCGATAAATTCAATTGTTTCTTTTTTTTCAATAAGATGTATAATAGGAATATTAAAAATAACTGTACACGTTTTCTTGTTACATATATTTTCAGATCGGTCGAGATACGAGTGCAGAATAAAACTATCAAAAACTACTCCACTTCGTTCACCATCGATAGCTCAGCAAGGAAATTTAGAATCTTATCTTACAAAACCGGTAAGTTTTTAATTGAGCATACTTTTACGTATTTATTCGGGAGCTAGTTAATGAATTGCCATACGTAAACATCGCGATAACCATTATTTTCCTTCCGCGTATTTTCCGGCAATTCGTATTGACGTAATAGTTTCAGATTTTGTTTCAATTTATCTGTAAGTCCATGCCTTCCAGGATCACCAAGAAATATTCGTGTTCCTTTCTTGGCTACATCCAGTAGCCACGGTATTAAAGTTTCGGTTAATTCTTCTTCGTAAAGTAGATCTCCGATAAAAATAACATCATACGATTTTTCGAGTGGTCTGTCCAATAAATTATCCCACGATACTTGAACATCCACGCCGTTTAATGTAGCATTCATGAGCGTGGCTATGCAGGCAACTAAAAGAAATCAAAGAAAAATCAATTGATGCATTCATTCACGCGCAACAAATTTTTTTTCTTTATTCATCTCTCGTTTTTGTTTTTGCAATGCTCTCTCTCTCTCTATTTATATATAATGACGCAGTTTACGTTACTACGTAAAAAAAATCGAGACTATAAGAGAGAAAAAATGTAGTTATTTCAAGTTTGGTATGCAAGAAGGTAGTACCGAGAATGGACCACCTGACTTTCACTGACGCACGAGACTCCGTCTTCTGGCCTCACGTGTTATGTATGTATATATATAGCTGGGGGAAGCCCAACAATATTGAGGTGTGCAATCGTTCGATCTAAGAATCTTTTCAATGTAGGTTTAATCTACAAAAATCATTCTTCATTTGGGGACGTAAAAGAAAAGTAAATTCTTATATAACGAGGTTTCTGTTCAAAAAGAAAAAAGAAAAAAAAGGGGAAAAAAAGTTAATGAAATTCCAAAGAATCGTGCAACACGTGACTCGGTTAAATACAACTTGTGCTAGAATTCGTTCCATCTTTTTATAGAAATGGTTACGAAGAAAATACGAGACCGTTATCGTTTGTAGAGAAGATACATATACATGCATAGCTGCGTTTATAGTGAATCATTCCTTGAGGAATTCATTATTATCTGTGTTTATGCCTGACCGGAAACGTCAGCTTGACAATAAACGCGATCATTCATCTTTCTACGTGTATACGAGTATCAAAAACATGCAATTTATATACGTATCGTATATAAATACATATAATAGATATATGAAAGAGATATGCATAATGCATTTACCAGATCAACTTTCTTTCGCTGACGTCGATCAGGCATTTAACAGGTATTTCCAACGAGCCACCGAAATATTCATTTTACACTTTTAGTTCTTATGCACTTAATTATGAATATGCTATGCAAAACGAGTCTCAATTGAGAAGATTTCTCGGGTAATTCCTTAAAGTTTACACGCGATTCGCGAGTAAAGAACTAAATCGTATTTGATTAAGCGGATTTTTCTATAGACCTATATTAAAAACATCATTTTACGAACCTTTATCGATGTCATTTGCCATGACATTACGAATTCCAAGTAGTTTCGCTGCTATAGCCGTAGCGCCGCAACCAGTTCCAAGATCCAAAACGTTAATATCCTTCTTAGAATGCGTAAATATATTTGTTTGTTCGTCGAATATGAACTTTACCAAGCCTTGACCACCCGGCCAGTATATGGACCAAAATGGATTGTTCAAAGTTTGTATTTCCACTTGATCGAGTTTTTTCTTGATTTTATCAAACGAATCATAATATAAAGAACACTTAGGTGTCAAAAGAAAAAGCTTTAAATCAGGAGTCATGTGATCGTTAGTGATCTCCGTATACTTTAAAATCGTGTCCACTATTTTGTCTCGTTCGACGATATCTCGATCAAAAATTTGCCAATTTCTATTTCTAATTGTTTCGATAAGATTTCCTGCTGAATTTCTCGACATTGGTCGTTTAATCAAAGCGTGCAAATCGTGCAAAATCTTGACGCCTCTTTTCATATCTCCGATTCTGAAAAATGCATTTTCTTTAGTAAGAACGATTGTTTGAAAAATCCCTCGTTTTGTAATCGAACGGAACGGAATGCCATTGACCGCCTTTTTTTACGCTTCGTCATTCCGTCTGGTAAACACGCGGTTGATGTTCTTTAGAAACGCGTTGGGAATCCCGCCAGTTCTAAAAATGCTCGCGCATAAATAAGCTTTGTATATGTATGGATGCATAAGCAGCGCGAACGTATATAAAATCCTCGTGGCACGTCCTTACGAGTACGATAGGAAATGAAAAAAAGTATGTCGTAGATTGAAAAATTGATCGACAATCTATATCGGAGCTTATCTAGCGCGGAGAACATACTGCGTCTACTCTCCTAATTATCGATAATACTCTAAGCTTTTTGAGAGAAGCTAAAAGTGTTCGTATATATTTGTCAGAGACGAGACAAGGAAAAAAAAAATGACGAAACGAGAGAGCTTTTATCATCTTTCTTGATATTTATCTTGGCACACATATGCTATCCGCGATAGACGTCGATGATAATGGGTGTGCGCTGTTATCGATTACACGCATACTTCAACGAAATGTTTAACATGTGTAGCCTAGTATATGTACACAATTAATATATTGACTAGACGCAATCGATGATCGTCTCTCGTGGTCGTCCAACGCGTGTCATATATGACGAAACTTCCTTTCAAAAAGAACAAATTGAGATAAATCTGCCTTTCCTCGTTGATCAAAGTTGCGTGTCGTGAAGCAAACAATGATTAAGTATAATAAATTAAAGAGTTTACGAGGAAAAAAAAATAGTGAATTTTGCGATGCTCCTTTTTCTTTAGTTGGGTAAGAGGAAAAACATTAATTAGAAATACGAGGTATATACCTTCGGTGTTTCTCTCTTCGTTGGGATTTATCGATAAAACGTCGTGTCGTTACGTGTGTACAAAGGGGCACGGCTTATCTGGAATATCCATGGAAACATTAGGCGGTTCTCCACCGTAAGGCAGGAAAGAGAAAAGTGGGAGAGAAGATGGTTTATAAAAGCGCGAGACTCGGTGCACCGTTATCATTCTATAGAAGGAACGAATCACGAGAGGGACATACGTAGACAGTTCAACATACGTTCGTGAGATTAATTCTCCCCTCCTCTTTCAACTCCCATCTTTGTGCGCGCGAGTGTGATAGAAAAGCAAAGGATTGCACAACGTTGCGTTTACTATAGTCCAAACTATAAGTGGACATTGAAATACTTGGAACGTTCGAGCAGCGGAAAGAAAAGAAAGTGAGTGGGCCGTGTTAGTGACAATCGACGCTCAAAATTAAGCACACTCGAAGCTCGCAGTGAAGGATACAATCGGCTATGATCGACGTGGAAACGTTTACCGATATGAGCTGTCAAGGATTACAATCTTTTCCTTTGAACACGATGGCGGAAAGGTAATTATGCAAATTCGCATAGGTTTCGAAGAAATGTTGCTTAAAGTCTTAGTTGAAATGAATTTCATTAAATCTCTGTAGTTTGTTCGATCATTTATTTCGGAGGAAAATCAAAATTGTTAGTATGGAGGACAAAAACTCGTGTTTCAGCGCAAAGCCAACGTGGAACATGAATTCTCGAGATAGTAAGTGTTCTCGCAAAAACAATATAACCTGCGGCATACTGCCAACTCTTCGTGCCCTGGCATCTCGAGAATGCAACGATCAAGGCAGCGTCTGTTTGGTACCGCTCGACGTCGACATGGATGCAGCCATTCATCTTCAAATGATCTTACTCGAGGCTTATTGCCGTGAAATTGGAATAAGAGTATCGAGAGTACCGTTAAATACGCTGCAAGACTTACTTGGTCCAGGACATTCGGATCTCTCCTGCGTTCTTATCGACGATCCTTATTTTATGGATCCACCTGAATGAGGAAAAAGAAGAAGAACAAGAGTCGACTTTCTCTTTTCAGGTACGATATTACTTACGCGTGTTTGAACCAACAAGGTTCAACGAACGTCCATCGACGATGTTCTTTGCGATGGGTCGGCGCCTTCGGATTGGTCAATCCTTCTACGCAGAAAACACATGACCTACATTGTTTCGGCGAATCGCTCACGTTCGCGTCATCTTCTTCTTACGTGACTTCGCTCTACGATTTAACAAATGTTTATACATTAGCAATGTCATTATTTTTTCTCCTATTATGTTATACAATTTGTATAAATTTTGTACGATCGATTGTTGTAAAGGAATAAAAAAATAACAAAGTTGTGATTAAGAGTTGACATAGACTAGCGAATTTTGTATTCCTACTTTCCTTACCTTCAAATCTTGCTTAATGAATTTCATTCATTGCGTTTATTCCTTCGCAGCTGATCAAGCATTTGAAGAGTTCGAATATATCTTCCATGGAGGACCTCGAGATCCTGAGCATGACGTGAGTAGGTATATTAAAGCAAACAAGTCTTAACGTATTGCGGACGAATGACAATAATGTTTAATTACTACTAACAAATCGTAATTAATAGACAAATATTTGACGCAAAAAAATAGCCGGTCGCAATGTGTTAAGTAACAAGTTATATTACAACTGACGTTTCGATTCTTCGTTTGAATTGAAATTTCAATTAATGATTTACCAAAGCGTAAATTCGCTTCTTAATGCTGCAGGCCTTCGTCGGAGATAACTTTTGAATTTTTTGCCAATTCGGACGATGGAGACAAAATTCGAGAGTCGTTAAATCGTTTAGTTCAACGACGTCGTCTCGGCGAGTTAGCTCTCGAATCTACGCACTTTACTTTTCAACAAAAACCCGCGTTTAGATTGCAGGTATGAAGAATTGTCGTAATCAACGCTTGAAGAAAAATTCGAGTATCTTGTAACGAATCAAACGAATCATTGGTTTTGCTTAGAATTTACGTTTGGATCGATCGAACGAACACGAGGTTCATCTAGGCGATGAAATCAATCTCCATTGCGTTGCCCAGGGAAGTAACGGTATTCGTTTCGTCTGGTACAAAGACAATATGTTGGTAAACGTGAAGAAAGCAAACAGGTAACTTCGTAATAAGATCATATCATTTGGTTTTACTCTTTAACGGGGGTATCGTTTATTCACGTTCATCCAGAGAAATTCGATACGAGGATCTTCCTAATGATGGATTGGATATGTATGCGTCGATATTAAAAATCGATAAGGCGACCACATTGGACGGTGGTCAATATACGTGCCAAGCTATCGATCGGGGCGTACAACAATGTAAAAGTCTTTACGTACAAGTGAAAAATGATCCGGATGTAAAGGTCACGCCAATGAGTATTACCGTAGAAAAGGTATAGATCTTTTTCTCCAATTGGTTTGAAAAGAAGATATACTCGAAATCGAATGCCAAATGAATGATGCCAATAAATTATTATTTTCTTTCTTTTGTTAATACTTTTATTACCTTAATGATTGTTGTTGGAAAGTAAGATAGAAAGAAAATATATTCCAGGGTAGTAATATACAACTGACGTGCACAACACCAAATATGCACAGCACGGGTATAGGATTCGGTTGGACGAAAAATCGAGCGTTACTTAAATTGGAACCAGGTAGTGAAATTTGGGAAGACCTTTATCCAGACGGTAGCATTTTAAAAATTACAAACGTTCAGGTAGAAATTTCATTTGAAAGTAGTACGACAATAAATGTTCAATTCGATTAATAATTGGAATAAAAATAATTGTAGAAATCGGCGATATACACGTGCAACGTGGCACACCGATCGATGTCCGTACGAGTAGAATTGACGAATCGAACTTTAGTACGAATTTGTCCGAAGGAAATATCCTGGACTGAAGAATGGCCTGACACAGCTCCTGGTTCGGAAGCTTTGATCGACTGTCCGCGACATTTTGTCGGACCTAAAGTATCGAGACTGTGCTTGATGAGTGATGCAACCACTCCCGAATGGTTGATGCCAGATTTTTCTAATTGTCTTTACGAGCCCTTCGTTCGTCCTTACAATAAAGTTAGTCTCTCCTGCTAATATTAATCATCGAATTCTTGAGACTTTATTTTGTTCCTTTTGCTGTTCGTAGTTTCGTAGCTTGACTCTAGGCTATCAAAATACAACAGGCTCGGAAACGATCCTAGCCCTTTGGGAAGTACTACGATCGCGCGAAATATCTCTCTATCCGAACGAAGCTGATAGAATTTTAAGCATACTCATAGAAATCGAACGTTACCAACGTAGAATCGATCCATCCGATTTGCATCGCTCTGCCGAAGCCCTAACGCATATCGTTAATCACATACTAAACGACGAAAATTCCATTTTAAATCCACAGGTAATAACTTTAACAATTATTGTCATTATTCTTATTGCCCTGACTGTAAAAATCATTTTTTAGAGATTATTGGTATTACTGCAAATAGTCGAACGAAACCTGATACATTGGTCGAAAAAGTTAAATCAAGGCTGCTTTCACTTGTCCTTGTCATCGATGGTCGTCGATATTCAACCCTTGCAATCTCACAGCAGTGACAGCATCACGCACTCTCTTCAAATTCCAACAACCGACGACACGTATGCATTTATAAAACGCATATCCTTACCAAATACTGGGAATATTGGAAAACTGTGATATATGTATATATTTGTTTCACAGATATCCTGATTGGTATAAAGACATAATTGCTATACGTTTATGGAAAAAGAGATTTAGAGATGGCAAAAACAACAGTACGTACAAAGGAATCGTCATTGTCTATAAGACAGTTTCTAACTTCCTTCCAAAAGTATACCTCAAAGAGTTTGAGTAAGCACCGCGTGAATACTTAGACGAACAATAGAATTAAACTTTTTTAAATGGATTTAAAATCCTTTTGACGTTATTTAATGCAGTTTCTTTTAAATTTTAGCAACGGTACAGAACTAGAATACCGAATTAACTCTCACGCGATCACGGCAACCGTGGCTTCCTTCAAATCTGACAAACATAGTAACATTTGGGTCGATCTAGAAATGAAACAATTAGAAAATCATTCTGGCCCTTGGAATGTTTCCTGTGGTCTTATGGATCATTCAGGTTCTTGGAATTTAAATGATTGTATAGCAAATACATTTCCAGGCGATCTTACGACCCATTGCTTGTGTCCTAATACTGGCACCGTTGCTCTTTTTTTAACCGCTAGGATTGTAAGGGTAATTATTTTGAAAAAGTTTGGAAAGATTTTCACATTTTCAAGTCGGAGAATCGTTTGCACAAAAAGTTTTTCTTTTTCAGATGGTATTACCAAAGAAGGAACAAACAACTTCTATCGTGATACTCGGTTGTGCAAGCTGTCTGATTCAATGCTCGCTAACATTATTCTTTCTTGGCATACATTGGTGGAAAAATCGGAGTTGGTTAAATTTTTTAAAAGTCCAATGTTGCGGTGCTCTGATCGGCGCAATGGCTTTGTTCATTTATGCGATATGCGGTAACTTTTCTGATGTACGAAAATATTAATGTATCTTATGTTTACTCATTATGCATTTACCATTGCTTATCTGACAGCTTTGCATTACATTTGTCTTACAGAGTAACTACTATCTCGTTGCAATAGGATTAGAAGCATTTCTCCTAGTTGGCATGTCGACTCCTATATCCGAGGCTCTTATAATATATTCTCAGTTTGTTCATATACGACCGAATCAGCATCTTCATATGAAGATCACAGTAATCGCCGTTATTACAGGTATACGACGCATTGCAAATGAATTCAAAGAGGCAGCTAGCATTTATAATTAAGTACTAAAACAAATTTTTGAAACGATAACTTTTCTAGGAGTACCGATTTTGGCCGTACTTGCCACCGAACTTACTCGCAAAAGTACTGGTTGGAGACACGAATCTTGGTGGTTGATTCATGGAAGTGGAGTATATAATATATTCGTAACTTGTACAACCATGATGTCTTGTGTCTTTATGATACTCTATTTGGGTGTCATTCATGAGGCTCGTGCCCTCGTAGAGAAAAATTTGATGAAGAAAGAAACCATAAAATCGAGGTAAGAATGGTGGACAAGTAATATTGATTGAATAAATCATTATATTAGTAAAAGCAAAAGTAATTCCTATCCAAAATCATATCTATAATTATTTTATTATAACAAAAATAAAGAGATTTTCTTTTTCTACAGAACGCGGTTATTGCATCGTGCCGCTGTAGTTATATGTGGCATTATTGCCACAGAAACGTCCTCAATCTTCTACATAAATTCGACTTCAATAATTTATCAGTATATCTTTGCATCGTTATCTACCGTTTTAGTAAGTATCCGAATTTTCTATATCGTATTATATTCGTTGATTAAATGAATGTTATGAAAATGAATAAAATACGATACCGAATTTATATGCAGGGTTTCATCATATCAATAGCATACGTTTCTAGCAGCGACATTAGTTTACTTAGACCAATACTGCCAAAACTTAAATGGAAATTGGAAACGAGCAACGAACGAATTTCAGTGCCGATCAAAGGTATCGAATGTTTCATGTCAATACATTTAATGAATGGATGGATGAGTGAGCGAGCGAATGAGATAAATAATAAAAAAAAAAAAATAATACGTCATTTTTTTGTATGCAGTATGTTCAAAAATTGATGCAGAAATGCAAAACGACGCTATACCACCACCTCCGTCATCTATATTGGCCGAACCCTACATAGAAATCCGAGGAGTAGCGGCTGGTAGCATAGATACGAGAGAATTTACTACCGAAACTTCGTCTTCCGTTGCTGGCAGGTACTTGCCTGAAATTCGAATCGATCGCCCAGACGACATCAATCTTGAAAACTATAGTACTAGCCCGCGAAAGTATCAAGAAGCATTCGATAGTGCTTTTGCTAAGCGAACTACTCAATGTCTCCCCGAACCTTATGGTGTTAGTGTTACAGATCGTAATGCTTTTCGAGATCTTGCAATTCATCAAAACATACCATCGGAATGTTCAGCTAAACTTCTTTGTAGCGCTGACATAGAATCACGTTTGGGTGCAATGCCGGACGTAACGTTGGCAGTCAAAACGGACGTAGAACATTTAACGAACGTCGAATTAAAAGCGAGAGAACACGTGAACGTTATTCCCGACATTGCTAATACAACGGAACGCAAACAACCCGATGGCGAGGAAAAAATGCCGGAAATTCGGATAACAAGTTGCGAGACTACCACTTCCGGCATGTTGGATCGTATCTCGCATGATCTCGATTATCTTTTAAATCGCACGCACACCAAAGAAGAAGTATAGACTTTCCATAGTTTATTTGTAATAAACATTTCCGTGAATTTTTTTGTCGTCTCGCGTTTTAATGACGCGCTACTTCCAACTTATTAGAAATTCATTATATGTATATTTCAAATCGAGCGCATTTATTTTTTTTAAATTCGTGTGCCAATTGTAACGATTCGTTGAACGATAAAACAATAATGCTTACCGCTTAAATTTCATTTATCTAGCATTTTTATGGCGTAGTAGTTAGATTCTAACGATTCGTTTGATTTCTTCAAAAGCATAAGTCCTAGAGAAACTCCATACAACATTGTTGCACAATGTGTTATGTTGCGTAATCTTACATGCGTTCTGTGATTTTATTTCTATAAGAAAAGACGTCGTGAAATTTGTATTATAAAATAAGAAAAGAAAAAAATATAAATAAAAAAATTATAAAGGCGCGCTTAAGGTCATACTTAAGATCTGAGTAGCCTTCCATCGTGATACTCCATCCATACACCAGTTTTCTATAAGTAATTCAATAATTCTCTTTAACTGTAAAGATCTAAGAATAAAACTTTATAGCACAATTGTTCGCTCGAAATGATTGCAAATTGCCCACCCATGATGATATTGCGAAATAATACCAAATATATAAGATGTATTTTAAAGAAAAAAATACGTAAAAAATATAAGTTAATATAGTTCGTAAGGAAAGAATTCGGAATTACAGTATTTATTTCACCATTGTCATCGTACAGTCCGATCATAATATCCACGCTTCAGTCATCGCACTTTTTTCATTTTTTATAATTTGAATTACAAAGCTATACATTGATTTTAATTTCGATAATCTACTTACATATTTAAAGTCAAAGTTTATGTTGTTGGTAAGATTACCACTAATGGTTAGTCAATTGCAAAGTGAGATGTGTCACTGAAATCGATTTTAATGAGGTATGAAATTGCAGCAATATGTTTTTGCCAAGCACATATTTGTGTTACAAATGCAAAAGACATAACAAGGTTCGGTGTTAGTTTGTTAGCACTCAAATATACCTATATGACTAGTTTTCTGTTTTTTTTTTCAACAGATCTTCTTAAAAATATAAATTATTTACAAGGATTTCAGCTAATTTTACCAAGATTTAATAATGTTGATTTAATCACATCAATAATACCTAAGTATAACAGGGCCGTGGCATCCTTTAGTTTCTTAAGAAAATCAATCATAGGCATATCCACTCGACAAAATTGAATACAATAAAAAGAGGAACACGCACGCGCGCACAGTAGACGCCACGCGCCACACCATACTATCTATATCGTAACTTATCGTATCGTATCATCCCATCCCATCCCATCTCGTCCCACCCCACCTTGTCTCGTCTCGTCTTGTCCCGTCCCGTCCCATCCCATTCCATTCCCACTAAACCTTCATAAAAAATTAAATATTCATCATCAGAATTTCCGAACAATTGCAAAAATTACAAAAACTCGCGTTGCGTCATTTAAAAGAGCAATTATTATATCGCGATAGAAATCATTGACACGATACTATTTATCGATCCGGAATGTGTAGATTAAGTAATTTTTTTTACTTTTATTTTTTTGATATATATATATATATATATATATATATCTATGTATATTAAATGCCATTAGCTTTTTATTAGCACCATATTGAGCATTATTCATTCTCGAACAGTTAAGAAATTTTAAATATAAACGCATATAAGTAAATAGTGCTGATTCGTAAAGAGCAGTTTTGTCTTACTAAACAAGATATTTGATGGCACAACGCTTATTCGTACATGTATTATACAATAAAGCATTATTCGTGTACATTTTAAATGTAATGGCCATTTCCTTTATGATTATATCACAAAATTTAAATTTATATTCGTTAATTTAAAATATGCAAGTAAAAATAATATAATTCCAACTATATATCTGTCCATATCGTTCGTAACAAAAATCATTGCTACTTTATTAAATATTCACGCGGTTGTGCATAAAGTAGTAACACAGATCGAGCTTCTACTTCAACGAATACAAGAATACCAGAATATAAGAAAGACATGTTTCGACAAACATATTTGCCTCGATAAAAAAGCATCTCATTAAAAGGAAAATATGCTTGCGGTGACCCTTAATTCCCAATAAATTCGAAAGAAGGCGTAAAACTTTTAAAAATGTTAAAAGTTTGGATCGTTAGTATTTGACTGTCATGAAATGCTTTGCACAAGCGTACTATTCGTTCGTACTAGAGCTGCGATTAGCTTAATGATTCAGCCACGGCGCCTCTTCTCCTATACTTTCAATCTCTTCTTCTCTTTACTTAAATATAAAAATACATAGCCAGTCTATACATAGAGCGTGCAAAGTGGCACAGTGAACTGATTTACCAAACGTCCTGGATGGTTAACTACCACTTTCAGTAATCGTTGGTGGTTCTACTTCATCGTGACTCTTATTTGTTTTATTACTTGACACAGAAAGACCTGAGATTTTTGGCAGCAAATTATTTGCATTATCACTGTTGGATGTCGTGGCATTGCACACAGAGTTATCAAAGTGCTGTAAACAGGAAAATTCTGGACCAGGCAGCAACAAAGTAGTTTGTGTAGGAAGATTGGTTAACGATACCATTCCTGGCATCATCATTTGCTTATTAAAACAACTCCTCAATGCTTCTTCAATTAAATTGGCTATTTTGTCGCGATCATTCTGTAACATTATTCATTCTTTTTCAATCGGTTCAGTCTTCATTTTATTTCTTTATAAAAACTTGATAAATGCATACCTCGTTAATAAATCCAAAGTGTACAAGTTCCTGTGCAAGGATTAATGAAGTATCTGATTGAGTCACAGGGCACGTCAGTTGCCTATTCATTTTATCATCCATTCGTAACAATATTGTCATCTATAAAGTATAAAGAAATATTTATTAATGTATGCGTAGATAAAAGAAGACGTATTTTTCATTACTTACAAGTAATTCACAACTTTCTTCTCTAGGTTTAACATTACACATCATATTAACTACTCTTCGCGATTCCACATCTACTGGCTCCGGTGTTACAGACTTAACAGATTCTGTTACTTCTGGAGATATAGCTCTGGGTCGAGCAGGTGGAGGCAATTTTGCCATAAATGCAGTTAAAGGATATATTCCATATCTGACAATATACATAATTTTAAAATAGAAACAACAAGCATATTACATTACATTTATAGAAACGTAATGATAAAATCTTACTTTACATCTTCAACAAATTTTTCTAGCTTTTCGGTAACAGGTATGTCACTTAAGCGAATTTGTTGCACCGATCGACCCTGGTATTTTATTTCTGCGACTACTGTGTCTGGACCATACAACCTTTGCAAAACTTCATCCGTTATCGTTTCGGAAATATTTGCTATAAGCAAAAATATATTATAAATAAAAGAGTTTTACATTTAATGCTTAAGTTTAATATTAGAAAAAACGAACTTGCAGGATACAATGCATCCAACATGTACGTTTACCTATACGATCAAATAAAGAAGGAGACTGTTAAGCTTACTGGCCGAGTTGACCAAGGCATGCGCTGCTAGGAGCTTTAAAGAATGTACTTCGAACAAAACCGGATGGAATAATAGTTCTCTTGCGCTTGGCCTACACAGAGGATCCACTTCGAGACACTTGCGTATAAAATCTTTCTGTTGGCTATCATCTAAAGATTCGATTGTTTTTCTGATGTTTTCATCTGTAACAATTGTTCCACTATCACCATTCCCTTGAATTTCAAGTGCAGCCATTTCTAATGCGCACATTCCAAAAGAATAAATATCGATAGCGGGTGTCACAGAATCTAGAAAAAGATTAAATACCTCATAATACATAGAAAACACGATAAACTTTGTTGTTAATAACATATCAATATTTGAAAAATAAACTTACTTCCATATTCAGGGGCAACAAAATGCATATTCTTCATGTTAGCTCTACAAGTCTTGACATGATGATGAATTGCATCAGGTGCAACTGAAATTATACAAACATCATCTTTAACTTTAAAATGTCTATAAAATAAATATAACGAAAATAGGGGGTAATGTTGAAATTTTCAATGAGTAATGAGTTAAAACTATAAGGCAGCTTTTAAACAGAACCTGTTATTACATTTATAATTACATAATTACCTTTTTTATCGCCGTAATATATTAACAACAAAAAACGATACACTTGCCTATTCTACTTTCTGTTCTGTTTGCTTGTTGCCCATTTAATAAAAAAAACGCTTGATTGAAATTACCTTTAGAAAAATTGTGTATATAATAGAAAACTGCCCTAAGAGTAACTTGAGCCCTCATATAATTCATTATTTTTCGCATATATATACAATAAATAAAGGTGCTTCTACAAGAGAGGAGCAATTTTTTAATATTTTAGAAGATTGAAAAAGTATGAAAACTTTTAACAATGAATAACATGTTATATGTTTTCATAATACATTTTAAACCGCTTATATATTCAAGGAGCCACTTTCATTGTGTGAACAAGATTAAATTAAAGTGAAAAAAAGAAGATCAAAGGGATTATAAAATTAAGAAATATAAAAATATAACAAGAGAGAGAGGGAGGGAGGGAGAGAGAGAGAGAGAGAGAGAGAGAGAGAGAGAGAGAGAGAGAGAGAGAGAACATGTGCGTCGCATAATCGCATGGGATCAAATAGGAATTTTGTCCTCTTCTGCTATATGTGCTTAATAACTGAAAGAATGAAGAAAATAGTGCAATAAGGTGGCATTAACATAATAAATTAAACATTGCACATTTAGTGAAACTACTAATATTAATAACATAGAAATAATAAAGTTTACCTCTCCATGCCTACATTACTTAGCTGCTGGCAATAGTCGTTGATAATCTGCCAAATCTTTTATCTTCAAATTGTCCACCACGATAACATACACTGATTGAAGAATGTGGATGCTGATGCATATATCCTCTGGGTGGATAAAAGTATAATTGTACCTCCCCTCTCTCGAAGGCTTTGCTGTGTTTTTTTCATTATCTAGATTAGCCTATTTGCTACAATTAAAAATGAGGACTCAAGTTACTCCTAATATGAAAAGAAGTTTAAACACAATCTTTCTAATGGACTCATCTTACTACAATAATATACAATTATCAAAAATGTACAGATTACCAAACCATTCATATCCGTTATGTGACTACTCGGATCTAAACACGGTACAACAAAAATATTTGAGAGTATATATACTGTATGTATTGTATATAACAATACTATTTTTTAACCAAGTTTAACCCCATATAGCCACAATTAATATTTCTATTTGATATCCTAATCATTACAATAATACATGATGTTTATGTACAACATAATTATAATACATAAATGTGTTTCAGTCATCTCTTCTCAAAATGTTGCATAAAAAATATTGTTTAACAAAAAAGTTATTCAATTATTTTTTATCTTATTTCTTAATCTGCATTTGATCGTTATTAATTCACGATTTCATTTTTTTTTCTACATACATACTAAATTATAACACTTTGCTAATGTAAGAAAATTTAAAAAAGAAGGGGAGAAAGAGAAAGAGAAAGAAAGAGAGAGAGAGAGAAAAAGAGAAGAGAGAGATTACTAATCTTAGAAAATCAAGTCATCAATTATCATATAAAAATATTAAAACAAAAATAGAGTAAAATGAATACACTCCTGCACAAATTTATACGTAACATACACAAATAAAATTTCAATTATTGTTTCATAGTATATATATTGATGAGATGATTATAAATTTAATCTATGATAAATGCTGTAAATTTACATGCTATATAAAATAGAAAAGGAAAGTTAATTCTTCTGCTATTGTGTTTCAATATTGAAGCACCATTCCTCTGTTATGCACATAAGTACTAAGTGTATATGGTGTACTTATGAAATATTTAAATAGATACAAATGACTTGATGCTTAATATACAAATGCTTCACACCAATCTTTGCTTCGGAACGTTATTATTATGAAGGTATAATGTATTACGATATATCTAGATATATTTTGTAATACCTGAATTAGAATCATTATATATTTCTCTATATAGTACCTACCTGAACCAATTTTTACAAGTCCATTATGTTGGATAAATATAGTATCGCACGTAAGATTCCCATGAATAATAGGAGGAGAACAGGAATGCAGATAACTAAAACATTTTATATGGTAAATATATTTTTAAAAAATATATATATATATATATTTATATATTTTATTTACCTTAATGCGGAAAGTATTTGCGTACACCATCGTTTCCATGCTTGGAGAGGCAATTTTTTTACATTACGTTTGGTTCTTTTTAGGAACTGTTTCAAGGATCCAGATGACATATATTCTGTTATAAATATAACCTGTGTAAAATAGATACAAAACAATATTATATATAGGTGTGAACAGATGCAAAAGAATAAAAAAATATACTTGGTATATTTCATAACTTACTCGTGGTTTGTCATTATGGGTATCCGTCCAGTACCTATGGAATTTGACAATATTAGGGTGCTCCAATTGCGTGAGATTCTCAAAGACAAGTTGTATCTTTTCTTCTTGTGCTTTGAAGTTTTTTCTTTCCGAAAATTGTACCTCATTCCATACCACTTCTACACCTTCCTCTGTATCCATTGCTAAATAAGCACAGTCAATTCCTGGAACATCTTGTTGCTCTACCTACACAGAAATAATCCAATTATTTAAGACAATGTTGCATTGTCTGAAAGGAAAAATATATTGTAACAATATATCATTATATAACTTTTTTTAACTTTCATAAAAAGACAAGTAAAATAATTTAAGTACAAATATTATATAATCCATCTTGTATACCTACTCGTCTTGTTAATTACAAAAGGAAAGCGAACTTGATTTACTTTTATTATTATTATTATTATTATTATTATTATTAAACATAGACATAAAACATATCTCAATAAAGTATATTAATAAAAATACATTATATTATCATAGCAGGTAGATGTTATGTTCTTTAACAGGGGACTAAATTTAGACATGTGCTATAACACATTATTGTAATCATCCATTTAAAGCTCACTTGAATTACTAATACTACTACTACTACTACTGGGACAATTTCATGACAATGTGCCATTATATGGATATGACTTTGTCAAGGCCACAGAAAAAATAAAACTGCTGAAAATAATATGCAAATAATATAGAGTGAAAGACAAATGCCAATATTAAACTATTAATGTTAATTATATTTATTTACCTCCATTTCAGTTGTTTCGTTTTCGCTACCTCTGGTTGTACCAAAGCTGGTTCCTTCAGTTGATGATGGTTTAGAACCTACATATACCTAAAATAAAAACCTATATTTATTTACTTAATATATAATAATTCTTATGTACAATAACGTACTCACACACTTTATTCAGAGAGTAATGATTTAATAATATTTATTTGATTATACTTTTATGTCAAACTAATATATATTTGCTTATAAAAGTAATAAAAATTAGATTATCATTGATTCTTAACTAACATATCTTTTCTTTATCGATAACAATTTTGATATTCATACTTATTTTAAACTAGGCATTTAAAAACAAGAATTACAAACATTAAAATTATCAAATAGAATCTATTAGCCAAACCTAGTAAATGTATTTTTAGTAAAAAACAACTAACTGTTGGTAAAAGATATATACATATATTATATGCGTGTGCCAAAATTTGAAATCGGATTTAATCTGAATTTAGGATACCGTACAAATAAATTCCTACAGATATTTGTAATTAGGAAATAATCTATTATTAACCTGTATATATAAAAATATATATGCAAATACTGTTCTGTAACAAACTCAATCATTCCAATAAAATTAGTTTTAATACGCTTTACAATTGTATATTTTATATCGGACATCTCTGTCTTCGAACAAATCTTAAAATAAGTAATATCGTAGTAATGATAGTACTTGATAAGTGACAATGATATTATGGGAAATAAGTTATTATATACCAATAAGTAAAACAGAAATTTATGGCAATGCAAATGTAGGATGCGAAAGAAAAAGAATGTAATTTTTATACGCTCTCTTATATATCTTTCTATGCTATATTAAAGATAAGTTACATTTTACATTAGATAAATTGAAATATGTACCATGAATATCCTACTGTCAGCAAAACAGTAGGATAGAGAGACATCGTATCACATGACGTGCTTGCCTATTCCTTTACCTCGTTAGGACTTATCAAAACCACAGCGTTATTCTTTCCTTGTAAATGCACAATGACTCGGGCAAATGAAATAAGTAACAAGAAAGATGTGTAGCATGCGGCATCCTAAAGAAGTGCACTTAATTCCTCTATTATGAGAATCGAAGAGAAATATTATTCCAAACATACCTCCTCCCGGCGTTTGAGCCACCGCCCACAGGGGCTCTCTTCCAGGATCTCGCTTTCATCCTCGGAATCCTCACCACTTTCTCGCGGTGACTTATGATCTGGGTCCGTGCTGGAGCGACTCCCGGGCATCACACACGCAATTAGTAAAAGGAGTAGGACCGAACACAACGTAACACGGCCAAACTCATTGGTAGTTTGAGGAATCTTCAGTCTTTAAGATTTGTAGGCCTAGTCGTCGTTGTCGGTCTCGTCCTTACCCTTGTCTTCGTTTCCGTCTTTGTCGTCGTCGGTCTCGTCCTTACCCTTGTCTTCGTTGCCGTCTTTGTCGTCGTCGTCTTCGTCGTCGTCGTCGTCGTCGTCGTCTTCGTCGTCGTCGTCGTCGTCGTCTTCGTCGTCGTCGTCGTCGTCGTCGTCGTCGTCGTCGTCGTCGTCGTCGTCGTCGTCGTTATCCTAAACGGTTTGGTCGTTTTCGTAACCGTTGGTAAGTATTAACGTTAAAAATATTAAGAAAAATAAGAGTCAGGAAATAGGCGCGCACGCACAGAAGTAGCACTCGTTGTGACACATGCAGAAACAGCCAGTCGTCTAAGAAGTCGAGTTCCGATATTTCTGATCTTACGCTGTTCCCTCAGCGGATTAATGCTTTTCAGTATCCCTCAGTTCTTCAACGGTCCGCTGTACATCGCGCCAGTTGCTAACGAATCTCACTGTCAAAATAAAACCTCTGTTATGAACGAAATAACTGCGACATGACACACACTTGAGTACTCATTTTTGTTCTGTCTTCGGTCACGTTCGCCCAGTATGGCGATCGCCGTGTCGTGCGCCGCACCCCTTTCGTCGCGATTGTACCGCCACCAACCAACTTTTACGATCTCTAAGTTTCCATTTTTAACCGGGAAAATTGTGCGTAATTTAGAATGTTTACCCTACATTTATCAACTTTTTTTACATTTTCCCCATTTTCCTTACGTTTTCCTTACTACTATCTAGGTTTTAACAACAATACATGTATATATATATTCTCTCTTGATATATTATATTATATTTAATATAAATAAAAATGTATAAACATTATATTTTTGTGACGTCCAACCATAGAATAAAAAGCAAAAATCTTTATTGTCGTGTGTCAAATACGGGAACTAAAATATCTTGCCATTAATATAATGTGATTTATATCCCTATTTAGCCAATCAAAGCAGAATAGCTTTAGTACGATCCTTAATGCTATGTTGTAAACGGTGTCTATAACTGTATTGTATGAAAGCAGTATTGTGTTGCAGAAATATAGTTAATTCGAAACTGTTAGGTGACAAATGATTGTCAATTCCGACCGAAATTTATTCGAGGATACAAAATATCCTTCCAAATTTTTAATGTCATGGAGCAGTAATATTTTCGTTATGTGAAATGGATACCGACGAGGATGAGTTAACCGTACTACAGGGAATTCCAGTAATGTCAAAGATATCGGGTGCTACCGAAAAACATAACCTAAAAGTAAGACGAAGAAACGTCACCGACACAGTCAACCTTTTTAAAGATTATGACAAAGATCTAAATTTCGCAAGCGAACGTATTCCACTCGTATTATTGTCGGACTCGACTGAAGCTTGGTACGATGGTATACCAAGATTACCTGATCTAACTGATTTAACAACGTCCGGTAAACAGAACGGAGTGCTCGGTCAAGACAGTGATTCCATTATGGATAATTCTTGTGATAGTGTTGAAGGATTGACGAATTTAGAGCGTATGAAGATAAGTGTTATACGAGGTACTATCACGAAGCCAGATTTATCATTGGGAGACTTTAAACTACTTGGATCCAGTAACGGAGGATTTATCACTGGTACTCGTTCTTAATAATCCTCTATTATTGTCAACAAGGAACCCGTATTCCACTCTTAACAGGAGAAAACATATACTTGACATATTAGTAGTCGGTTTCATTCTTTCAATTTGCTACTTCTATCTTCTAATATTTTTACTGCACTTCTATACATTTATGGTGCAAGAAAGAAAACAATGTAATTAGTCAATGCATTAAGGTATAATCATGCAATAAAATAATCATTATTTGAAATATTCGAACTTTAGAAATAATGTCTGTATATGTAAAATATTGGTTCCTTCTTGAAAATAATCCTATATCTTATAATTAAGTTGCGAAATTATAAAGATGATCTGTAGATGGTATACGAAGGGTGCTTTGGCCAAAAATCCTAAGATTATCCAAGGAAAAAATAGTACCCATAGATGAACTAGAAACAATATATACTAAAATTCCTAATGAAGTTTATCAGCAAATACTAAAAGATGTAGCACGAAGTGGAAGCCATATTTCTCCAACTGCGACGGAAGAAGAAACTGAACATTTCCAGAACCAATTAACGCAGATTATTTGTTGGGTTCTTCACAAACATCCCGAATTAAAGTTAGTATTAATGTTTGGAAGATTTAAAGAAACAACAAGATGCGATCATATATGACTGTGTGACATTTTCTAATCAAATATTAATGAAAGTATAATAAAATAAAATAATGCATACTTAGTTACTACCAAGGCTATAATGACGTAGCTGCAACTATTTTACTTGTTATGGGTCTACAAGAAGGTTTATATGTACTTGAAAGTATTTCTGTGGAGTTCCTTGAAAGATTTATGGAAAAAACAATGGAAAAAGTCAATCAAGAACTGTTTTACATATTTGCATTACTAGAACGCGTTCATCCCACTCTTCTTGAACATTTAGAAAAGTTAGTTGCATAGATTTTCAAATATGACACGTCCTATATATAGCGTATTAAAATATATTCATTGATTTCAGTGTAGAATTGTTTCCTCATTTTGCACTAGCTGAATATACAACATGGTATGCGCACAAATATGCAGAAAACAGGAAATTATTACATAGATTATATGATTACTTTCTTAGCAGTCCACCTTTCATGCCCCTATATCTAAGTTCCGTTATTGTAGCGCATCGGGCTACAGAAATATTTAATACTACTCCTGATATGGGACATACTCATAAAGTTTTATGTACGGTAAGTACGAATGTTGTCTGTTCAAGTATAATTAATCTTTTGGAAGAAGAATAATGGGCTTTTTTGTTGGCACAATAGTAATAGCAATTTCGTGATTTTAGCTGCCCAATGATTTGCCTTTTGAAACGCTTCTTATTGATGCAAAGAATTTATATCATCAATATCCCCCCGAATCAATCAATAAAGATGTCAAAGATTATGATTCCAAAAGACGTTGCAAGGAACAAGAATGGAAAACAAAAGCAGAAGCAAGTCGTCAGGAAAGAGAAAGACAACGTCGACTTAAAATTGTTAAAGCTACTCCAAGAATACCTTATCGAATTAGAAGTTACAAAACTATAACCGTTGTAACAATTTTAGCCCTCGGATTGTATGCATTTTTGAAATCTACGTCAGGTTTGAACTGACATTAAATGTATCTTTCCTGCCTAAAATTAAAATTTATATACATGATTTATAAATGAAAATATTACTAATTCCATAGTAGATGATAATTGGTGTGAAATATTGAATATTGGTAAAGCTTGAGCAAAAATGCCTCGTAAAAGAAAAACAGAAAAGGATTCAAGTTGAAAGCATTCCTAAGCTGCCTTTATGCTGTGTTCTTTGAAGGCGCTGACCAGAACTTTCTATGCACATACCATAAAAGTCATTTGTAGATAGGTGCCTTTAGAAAATGGCAACAAAATTCTTTTTAAAACAAACAAGAATTAATTGTTAAGAAATAATGAACATACAAGCATGCAATGAAATGTATAGAAGTTAAATGAGATTGATTGGTGAATGTATATATGCATATTGCGTGTATTTATTTATCATATAGATTGTTTGCTTGTTGGTTGTATAAGAATTGTATATAAACATACACATACATCCAAAATATAAAAGAAAATACTATATGTGAAATCATATATAAAAACATTAGTATGATATAATATAACAAACATTAATAAACATTTTCATTTTTCTAATATTATTATTCATTATACTTTTCATACTTATTTTTCTATCATTTTCATAATTTGTAATCATCAATCGATTCCATCAATTGATCTAAAATCACGTGAATAATTGCTTTGGATGTATTGTAAAAGAGATCGAGTGTAAATTGAAATCTGTGATGTATATAATGTATCGATAAAGGGAATATGTTTCTATGACCTATTGTTTTGATCACTTTTAATCTCGAAATTATACTATAATAATTAATAAGAATATTTCTTTTTATGTACTATTGAAAATTAATCTTTCCTACCGTTTAATGTACAACTAATTGTTGTTTTTTATAAACTTATTCAATATTAAAATTAAAAAATATAAAAAATAAGGAAACTTACAAAATAGATATAAATAGATTATTTCTGTAAATGAATAAATAGTAGCATATGAATATAGCAAGATTTAGCAGATGTTTACTGTTTCATATTTATCATTCGTTAAATAACTCTAATAAATTGAGACTTCTAGAGAGTAAAACTAATACCTGAGATAAATTCTTAAAAGTAAATATCTCTATTAATTCTTTA